TTTTATAATAAAAATAATAATAATTTTTTTGGGGGGGGGGATAGTTTCTTAAACCTTTCGACGAGAACAGAGCGTCTCGCATCATATACGGCATGACATGTTTTCACTAAGGCGTGACGTAATGCCGACAAGGGATGCTCCTTTGTGTGCGGAAAAAAGTGAGCCCCCCTCTCCAAAAAAAAAGTGCAGCGTGGCTGTCAAAAACAGGAGTGTGTCTGGATTTGGGGCTTCTCTTTGTTTCCCTTGGGTTGCCATGGCTCATATCAACTTGGATTGTTTCGACATCCAGAAGAATGTTCGGCTTTCCTTTGCACTATGTGTACTCTTTGTGTAAGTATCTGCTGAGTGGAGAGCATCAAAGATTAGCGACATGTGATATCACAACATACCATAGCCGCCCGCCCCCCCCCCACACCCTTCAAGCATGCACACGTCCTCCACTTAGAGCAGCATAGAGAGATGATATTTGGGCAATGAAAATGCATGCTAATGACTGTATCAGTCATTTTCAGTGCAGGTCCTTGCAGTGTTCTGCAAGTACCTTTGGCCTGTTTTGTTTTTCTCGCCAAGCATGAACTCAGGCTGTCAATATTTAATAACCCGGCCAGCCGATAGCCTGTTCCTCTCCAACTTTTGTCCGCTCGCGCACCAACACGCCCAGCTTGTCTTGTCTCGCATGAGATTAGCACATGGATATTTCATGGCGTGTTCAAACGCATTTTGCATTTTTAATCTTCCCCCAAGGGCACCGGCAATCTCGTGTTTGGAGAAGTTTTTGATGAACAAATATTCTTCTATGAACGTGTGTTTATGGATTACAATTGGTTGGTTTTATTTTTCAGTGGATTGGATGGAGTTGCACAAAGAAGACATTCACAACTCCCATGTGCAAGTCTCACCCCGCTATACATTTGTACTGCATTGCGTAATGACGCAGCCGGGCCAGAAATGCTGCTCAGCTTGGTTTTGGGAACTGTCATTACAGGAAACAAAAAAAAAAAAAAAAAAAAAAAACGCCCACAAAGTTTTTTTTTAAATCCCTGGAAATTTTCTTCCCTGCACCCAACCCCAAAATGCGCCCCAAAGTTCATCGTTGCGCTCAAGTGAGAAAAGCAGAAGCACTTTCTTTTTGACTGTAATCATAGCGAGCCGCGCTCAGATGTGTCACCGTTTCATGTTGTAAAAAAAAGACAGCGCTGATGTCTTAATATAGAACGTAGCTTTCGGCTCCCTTGTCATCAGGGCGCACTATTTTTATCGCCGTGTGACCACTGACCACCTTTGAATTACCACCCAGTGGCTTTGGCAAAGGAAAAAAAAAAAAGAAAAATCTCGTCAGAGATGTGCCAGCATGCCGACTCTTCGAGGACGCGACTTCGAGGAGAAAGTGCTCTTTAATGTTAATTATTCCTCTCCAGTAACTCAATGTCAGATTCTAAATTGGCTCTGGAGGTTTGCAAACGAGGCGGCCGTGTTTGTTGAAGCTAAATAGTGTCTTAAAATAAATAACCTTGTGTTTGCCGGCATTAAAATACAGTAGCGTAGTAGTCCCGAGTGTTTGAGAAATTTCGGAACTGTTTAATCCCACGTATAGTTGACATTTACTTTCAAACATGACATAAAACAAAGAAAATTCCCCCCCGGTGGGTTTAAAACAATCTTTGCCAGTGGAAAGTCCGCTTAGCTTAATGCTAACAAACAATGCTAAATTAGCTAGGCAGGCCAGCCAATGTTGTTTCAATTGTTCAATTAAAATTTCTATCAACTCCTGGTAACAATGTGATGAAAATACTTTTTTTTTTTTTGTCACGTCTCGACAGTCCACGACTGCAAAAATGACGGCAGGTCCAACGTTTAAAGAGCAGAAAATTTTTTTCCCATATCAGCTTATTGAAGTATCTCAAGTTGCCATCAGATAAAAAGCGCGATTGCTCAGATAGCCGCCGCACTTGAGTTCTGACGTGTCAACTTTTCGTACGCTTTGCTCGCTTGCCAGTTAGACCACACTCGCCCTTTGCCCTCATTTTTTTTCCCTCCCCTTCGCTTTTCAATGAGAGTCAAATCTTCCCCTTCCCCAAAGGGCCGCCAGCACCGTGCCACCGCCCGAGCGCAATGACTCACGTGTTTGTCTTTGCTTCGCACGCACACTCCACTTATTTAGTACCCTGACGCTCTCTTGTAAGCGGAGTGAAAAGGAGGACGAGAATCAATCAGGTGTACCTAATGTGG